ACAGTTAAAAAAAAAAAAAAATTCTATCTAGCACCCAAAAGGGTTCCACCATTGTTATGACTTAGTAACCCTTTTTTGTACTATACAGAGCTCTTTTTTGCTAAGAGCGTGACTAAGTTCCTAAAGGTGCCACAGAATGAATTGTTCTCAGATGTCACAGCATCAATCACTGTGCGAAGCTACACAGTTTTGTCCAGGTTTTGAGAAACTGTCCGGAGTGAAATGTGCAGAGCAAATCAACAACTTTGAATTGAAGTCGTCCGGAATCTTTTAATACATGTGGGAGCAGACGTTTCCTATACGTCAGTGTCCGGTTGCACCAGCTGTGCGTGAGTTCAAACGTAGGCTAGTTGTAACATCAGTGTTCACCAAGTTCAGGTTTATGCATTATTAAATCAGAACAGGGTTGCACCACAAAAACTAGTTTTAACGTTGAGCTTGGTAGTTACTTAATATTTACACTTTGCCCTCAGCAGGTGTAAGTTTTAGGAAAACCATCAGAACCATCTTCACAACCATCAGATAGAAAGAAAAAAAAGACAAAAAATATGACTTTTTTGGTTAACTTAGCAAAAAATTCTAAATGCTTTATGCTGGAATTTTACTTACAGCTCTAATAAAGTGCCCAGGTTTAAAGTCCGAGCATGAAGCTAAACACCCACAGCTCCAGCTCAGTGATACTCAGCAGCCCAAACGCCTAAACTGATCTGCTGTTGTTTTGGTCACACTGGCATTTAGGAAATATTAAAAGACAAACAGACAGTGGCTGTAGATGATCAGCTTTATTCAGTTTAACTTGTACACATTGTTCTCTTCTATGCTGGATATTTTTTCTATGGAGAAGTCAGAGCAGCTGCCGTCGCGCTTCCATGGCAGCAAGTTTTCTGATTGGTTGATGTTATCGTCATGTTAAAGCGACGTATGCATTAGTTAGTTGTTACTAGTTACGACACGACTTACGGATTTGTGGTGCAGCCAAATTCAGTTAAAGGATAGTTTGAAACGAATTAGTGTAACTAAGAACTCAGTAAAGACTTTACGCACAAACATACTAAACTCATAGAAACTTGGTGCAACCCAGTCCAGACTTGGTTTTTCCACCTTAAATGGTGTCGCACTTACATTCTGGCACTGTGTATTCTGAAGACTGTACAAGCTGCAGTATTTAAGATGGAACAGAACAGAAGAGCTGGCGAATAGGAAGCCAACTTCAGCCTCGTTTAAAGATGAACATCACTAATGCCTGTTGACAGGTCAGGTCCTTGGGAAGGGCATGAAAAGTGTCAACATCCACTTACAGCTTGGAACAATACAATATCTGCGAATAGTCTGCCATTTTCAGTCCTGTTGCTCTGTTGTCGTTGTTTCGCTGGGCTGGAATGTGGGTTGGTGTATGTAAATTTTGGGGGTGTAAATATAAAGACTGTGTTACGTAAAAATTTCGGATTTTGGAAAACGCCCGTTTTACCACCCTCTTTTCCAAATGCGAGATTTGTATATGAAGGAAGAGACGACAGTGTTTGAGGTTCACGATACATCAGTTCCACGTACTGAACTCTCACTGTTCAACTACACCAGTGTAAATACAGTTTTCCGTTCTATGGCTCCTTTAAGTTATATGAGTAAGAGATGACAGCCTGGACGCTTTGGCATCTCCGGGTCGGTTAGAAGGTGAAACTACCTTTGGGTCAAGAGAGTTTCAATATGTGTTTTTAACAACAGTTTGGAAAAGAAAACTGTCAAATCTTTATTTGAACTTGCTCTTTGTACCAAGGAAGACTCTGTGATGGACATGAAGCTGAGTGGTATTCTGCACTGGGCATTCTTATCATCCAGTGATTCAAGTGCTCTCACTGTGATTTCTTACTTTTGTTCTTTTAGCTTCAACAGCCACATGAAAAGTGCTGAAGCGGTGAAGTGATGCAGACAGCCAGCATGAATTTGTGATGCCAGCTATACCAGCTATAATTTACACATTTTGAGGCTAAAATATAAACAATACTGAATACTAAACAGAGAAAGGAAAACGCCACAAATGAGTATGTAAGTTTGAGTGCCCCGATCAAACAATTTTTTTTTTTTTTCCCCAATTTTTTCCCAATTTAGTCGTCTCCAATTCCACCCGCTAGTTAGGACTCCCCCAATCACACGATAATTTTTTGATTTGTGAATATAACACATTCTCTACATGGAATAAAGTAAAATATGACAGTAAAATATGACAAATCTTAGTGTGTAATTTCTACTTCTTTGCTAAATAATTAATTAAAATGGTTAAAAATGTGTCTGTTACAGGCCAGAATGGCACGTATGTTTTTTTTTTTGTTTTTTTTTTCTTTCCTTTTCTATCTACGTCACTTCCTAACAAGTGCATCCCAACCAATGGCTGCGTCTGTGCGAATTCAACTGTTCTACCCTCATCCTCCAATCAGAATCATGGCTGACTGAATAGGGGTGGGTGTTTGAAGATAAAAGGCTGACCCAGTAACATGTAAATAGAGGAGAGCCCTGTGTGTGTCTGTGAGGCCTTTAGGTTTCTGGCAGTTTGGTGACTTGGTGACGTGGCGCTGTTGTTAAAATCATAGCCACGTTAGTTTTAGTTCCGCCTTGTCGTCACTTTGTCTCTCTCTCTCTCTCTCTCTCTCTCTCTCTCTCTCTGTGTTTCTCCTCCTAGCGTCCATAGTCTACCACTGCTACTAGCTATGTATACAATATTCTTACCCCAGCGTAATTTTGAAAAGTAAAGCATTGTCTAAACGTGATACTCCCGACGTTCGTGTCTCTCCCTTCCACCACTCATCACATACTCTATGTTACTTCCCCTTTTACCCCTAGATATTATCACAGGGGTACGTAACAGTGACATGTTAACTTATTTGCACTTAGAAAATCAAAAAACCTGACCATCCTGACTAATTTGAGCAGGGATGCCCAATGTTAGCTCTTTTATGCTAAAAGCTTTGCAGGTATTTTTTTTCTTTATGAATGCCCTTACCTCATCTAAAAGTGAAAAAAAGAAAAGAAGTCAAAATGTTCTCAAACTTTTGATGTGCTGGTACTGAAAGCACAGAGTGCTCCGGCGCGGGATGGCAGCCTGCGGGGCGATGAAAGAGGAGCGCCCGGCTGCTGTGCTTTCTGCAGACTCCCACAAAAACGAGAGTTCATGAATTAATGACGACCTGCGGCTCTGTTTAGGAAACTCAAAGCCAAGTACGAGCAGCAGCCTGTGAGCAAAGGCTTTCTACACCCCGACCCCAAAAAGACGATATGTTTGTCATTCACTCTTTCCAAAGTACTTCAAAAGTGTTGATTAAGGCTCAATAAATTTAGCTGTGCGACTATTTAGGTCACTGCCTATTACCTCCTATGCCCACCGGAGTCAGCGTGACCGTTTTCTAACCTCTCCCTACTAAGCAAGCTGTTTTTATTAGGATCATTCTACCAAATTAGTCGCAGAAAAAAAAATGATTAAAAAAACAATTAAGTATTCAGACCTTAAATATTTATATTTATATTATTTATTTAAATTGTTATGGTCTATTTAATTGAGATAGTAATAAGATAAATATATAAAACATCACAATGTATAGGGGAAAGACTTAGATCCCACTGTTTTGAAGTAAATGTGTCCCAGAATCTGAAAATCAGTGTGAAACATTAAGAACTGTCACTACTGAAACACAGATTTTCTGCAATTAAGTAAACCATTTTGTGTTTTAGTGATAAATATGATGATTTTATGTGTGTACAGCTGTTCAAAGCTGTGTCTGCTTAACCTTAAAATGAGCTAAAAATCACACAGACAAAACAGTCACTACTTCAACATTTGGTAAATGATTGACAAATATATTCAATCACTTATTATAATAAAATAACCATAATTAAGGTAAAGGGTCACTCAAAGCAGGATTTCAGTCTAATGTCCAAGTTAAAAGTCTGAAAAGTGTTTTGAACTTTGACTTTGAACCAGTTTGGTAGAATGATTCGTACATGTAAATGTGCTCTGTTCTGATTGGCTGTCCTGTATTATGGCTCATTTAAAGAAGCAGTCTGGGCTGAAACACTTCTGATACCTTTATTTTGAATGGACGGGGCTAAACTAAACTACATAAATATATGTAAATAAGTAGATTTTCGTGACGTCACAAAAACGATGAATGCAAAAGGGGCTGTTTTTACAGCTTAGTCTCCGTATTTGGACTGCATGGACTGGGACGTAAATTGTGAAACTTTATCAAAACAAAATGTTACACAGAACATCATATTGTAGTACAGTGAACAGCAGTGGTCACTAACCCTCCTCCTGGAGAGCTACTTTACTGCAGAGTTTATTTCTGACCTACCTACATTAGGTCATCTGATCCAGCCAATCAAGGACTTCTGTGGCAGGGTTATTACACTTAACTCAGACTATTAATAAAGTGAAGAAAAGTGAAAGGATGTGTCCGTTAATGGTAATAAAAAAAAAGAAAACTAAATGAAAACTACTATGTCCACTGCAAAATTAACTAAAATGAAATGGAATTACTGAAAATAAACCTCTCGTTCGTGTTTTTTAGTGTGTCAATGAGAGTTTAGAAGTGGCTGATAACAAAAAACATTTTTGCTGTTTTTCAGCTTTTGACATAATTTGAAAATGCCTGTTGCTCTTTACGCTGTGTGTAAATTTCATGATGAATGGACCAAAAGAAACGACCCAAAATGACTTGGAAAAAAGTCTGGTTCCATTGACTTACATTAAAAGTAAAGTATGTTTTTCCTTCTCCTGTAAAGTGACCACTGGAGATAAGAGGTTTTGTTCCGACAGCAGTGATAAGATTTTTGACTGTTCCTGTTTAGATAACGGTATTTAAAACGTTCATTGGTATAAACACTGACAGTGTTAGATGTAAAAAGCTGTCCTGGGGCTGATAGTGTGGTAATGACAGAGATGCATGTTTTTCACAGTACAACATTTGGCATTACACTGTTCCTCATTAGCATTAGTGCACTCAGCTCACCTCCTTCCATCTCATCCTGCCAGTTTCGGGAGCTGCTAGCTGGAGAGTTTGGAGAGGCGTAGTACTCGCCTCCGGGGCTGGTGTCTATATCACCCTCAACAGAGCTGGACTTTTGCCTCTTACTTCTGCAAGACAGAGAGAGAGAGAGAGAGAGAGAGAGAGAGAGAGAGAGAGAGACAGTAATTAACAGAGAAGGGACAAGGCAACATGGAAACAAAAAAATCAACTGGCGTGTCCATGCTCCGCCCACAAATGCACTCTTTCATAGCAACTGTTCAAAGATTTTACAGAAAATCTCATTCAACTTACCAGGAAACTGTATTTGTTTATAAATATAGCTCTGTAGCACATCACTCTAAACTGGAAAGTCAAAGTTATTTAATAACTCTATTTCACTACTTAGTGGTCTGATATGAATAAGCTTTGTATTTTTTAACATACAGTGCAGTGCAAAAGTTTTAGGCAACTCATAAAACTGCATCCGAAGAGCTATTTAAATAGTGTGCATTAATTTGCTTTCATTTTTGAAAATGAAAAATCACCATAATTAGTGCTTTTACATGTATCATTGAGTGTGTTTACATGCACTTGGTAATCCAATCATCATTGGATTTCTGCAGTTACCCGATTATTCAAACGGTCATGTAAACACCATACTCCGATCTAGAAATCCAATTAAGAAATCTGAGCTGGATTTTAGCTCAGTAATCAGACTTCTCAGTGCATGTAAACTCTTACTCTGATTTCTTTCAGATTTATCGGTCTGTGTGGAACAGACGGCAATATCGGAAATACCGACTACATGCCGGACGAAATGAAAGATTTAAATATTCATGTTAAATGTTCATGTTTTCAGGTTAAGCGGCGCTTTTTTTAAAAAACAACCACGGTATGAAGTTTGAGTTTTACGTTACGTTCACATCACATCTTCTTCTGTGAGTTTATTGGCTGGATGCAAAGCAGAAATTTGATTACTGTCTGACTCATGTAGACCTGGAGTTTCACATTATCTGATTGCTCAAGTGCATAAAAAACAACTTGATCGGACTACTGACAAAATCTGATTTATCTGCAATTATCGGATTATTAAGTGCATGTAAACACACTCAATGTGTTTATTTACCCCTTTCCAAACCTCTCCTCATAGTAGCCCAGTATAGACTGTCGTTATCATCTGAAACCTGGTTTTGATGGCTGGAACCAAACTTTTTTCTTCAAACTAGTTCAGAAGATATCAACTACTTTTTGTCAAAACAGAAAATTATTATTGTAATAAAAGTATTATAAAAGTATTTTTACAGTATGTTTACAGTGTTTGCATCCATTCTAATGATATGACTTTTTTACAAAATGTTACAAACACCAAGAAAAATTGTTTTAAATATTGCACTTAAGTGTCTAAGACATTTGCACAGTACTGTATCATATGTATGCTCCCACATAACCCCAATAAAGCACATCCTCAATAAAGCACATCCATCCACCCATCCATCAATTTTAACGGAGAGTCATAAGCCGTAGTTTCTTATTAGGTTAAATGGGATTCTGTGAAGAGTGTCAACCTGACGACAGTTGCTATGGAGGAATACATTTGAAAACAGCAAATGGGTTCAGTGGAAATTTACATTATAAATACACATATGAACTATGCCAATAGCTCTTTTCCACAGGACAGTGAGGGATGACACCATATGGTCATTAATCTGAATCCACTCTGGCTGAGTACCTGCTTTAAGTTGTAGTTCACCTTTTACTTCATTCAACATGTAGAGTCACACACACACACTCTGGCTTTTATTGTTAAAGAAACTACGGTCTGGTTATGTTTGACCAATCAGTGGTCTGCACTGTACATTTGTAGTATCACCCCGTACGTTCTGACACCTCATATTTTTATTTAATAGAATTATTATACTTGCGTTAGTTAAACTCTGTGATTATTCTTGTAATACTCTTTTTTAGTTTATTTTTATTTCATAAAATCATCATGTATGTTGTACACAAACTCTATTGCAGTAATACTGTTATTTCAGTAAGTTTTGGTTCAAAACAAAAGGGTTAAATTCTTGAAAAGTCCAACGGAAAACTATCCAATCAAGATTGTTTTTCTCTCTGGTATCTTTGTAGACACAGCCATGCGAGCTCTCCCATTGGTTAGGACTTCAGGAGCTGAACTAAAGGCCTCATATGTCAGATTAACCAGCATTCTGCTCTTCTTTAGTACAATAAATACCAACAAATATCATCAAATACAGTCATATGTAAAGGTTTGGGCATCCCCTTGTCACATTCCATTTACTGTTTCTTTCTGACCTCTGTAGAGAATGTGTTAACATTTTCACTTCAACAAATATGTAATTTGGCCAGGGGATGTTCAAACGTTTGCATACAACTGTATCAGCTTAACATACATTAAATGTAAACATTTGTCTGATGTTGATAATTTTTATTTAAAAAGTTATCTGCAGATTCCTATATGAGCTGATATCAGCGTGAATCCCCAGACAAAATGTGTGATCAGAGGTTGTAACCATAGACGTGCCGTCCTGTGGAAAAATGCTACGAGACAGACACACTCTGTCTGGATACTGGCTACTGGATCTCCCGCTCTGCGCTCCCCAGCCACTCAGATGGAGCAGGCTGCCAACAGGCTCACTTTGTTTTAGCTTTGCAGTGCGTTTAATGGAAAATAAGAGCATTAATCAGAGCTGGAGAGTCTGGAACAGAGAGAGAGCAGATAAATCATAGAGCCTGCAGCCACCTCAACAACACACACACACACACACACACACACACACACACACACACATTACATACACATATTCACGCAGCAGTGTTTAGAACCGTTCAAAAGTTTGGAATCAATGTTTCCAGTAATATAAAATCAATTAGGATGATTAGATAGATACATAGATAGATAGACAGACAGACAGACAGACAATGAATGTTTCCAACAACATAAAATCAATTAAGATAGATAGATAGATAGATAGATAGATAGATAGATGGAAGGATAGATGGACAGACAGATATCTAGATATCTAGACAGATAGATAGATAGATAGATAGATAGATAGATAGATAAATAGATGGATGGACAGATGACCAAGAAAGCTGTACAACATGGAGAATTAACTTTTAATAAACTTATTATCCAGAATTAAGTTATGATACCTAGAACATCCATAATATGGCGAGTGATTCCAAACGTCTGAATGCTACTGTACATGCACACTTGCAGTTCAGCATCACGCAGGCTGTGAAGGATTACAGTACATGTGGGAAATGATCTGAGAGCTGGATGAAGCTTGGTGTGTGTGTGTGTGTGTGTGAGTTGGGGGGGGGGCAGTGGGGTTTACACATGTGTGTTGAGTGTCTATAGTGGGTCATTATGTGTGTGTGGGTGAGTGTGTTTACTGGTTCTTTTAAGAAGAGTGTGTGTGCATGCAGTAACTGAGGCAGGTGTGTGTGTGTGTGCTGACCCGCTGGAGGACGTGCTGGGTAGGGTTCTCCTCATGGCCACGCCTGTGGGGTTGAGATCGTAGGCCAGGTGCCCCTGCAGCTCCCCAAGAGAGAAGTTTGGCCCTGTTCCCGTCACCACGGGTGCTACACATAAAAACACAGAAGCTGAAATTAGAGATGGGCAAGATACTGTCTAAAACAGTGTAACAGTGGTATCATACCAAAATACAGATTTTTAGATAGATTACAAAGTTTATAAAATCCAAAAATGAAGAAAGTATTAAAATAATTGAAAAACACAACAATGATACATAAAGCTGTATCACTGGTTTGTTGGTTGCTCTAATCCGAGCATCTGTCATTTACCATCTTCAGGAGGTCTCTTATCAGAGCATAGTGGCCAGAGAAAGGGGCGGGAGTCTAATGTTTTAGGTCTAAGCCCTAAAGGATAGCACTGTAGTATAAGACAGTTTACAAGTTACAAACATAAAGGACTGCACTGTAATATGAACCGGTGTTATAGGTTGAAGCCCTATAGAAGAGCACTGTAGAATAAGGCAGTGTTATCATTAACAGCCCTAAAGGACAGCCTTAAAGTGTAAGGGTGTTTTACATGTTACAGCCTTAAAAGACAGCCTTGTAGCATGAGACTATGTTATAGGCTACAGACTTAAAGATCAGCATTTAGTATAAGGTAGTTTACAGGTTATAGTCATTAAGGATAGCACTGTAGTATGAAGAAGTGTTACAGGTTACAGCCCTAAAGGACACCATTTTAAAATGAGGCAGTTTTACAGGTTGAATCCTTTAAGGACAGCATTGTAGTATGAGGAAGTGTTATATGTTACAGCCATAAAGGACAGCATTGCAGTATGAGGCAATGTTTACAGGTTATAGCCCTAAAGGACAGTATTGTAGCATGAGGCATTGCTACAGGTTACAGACATAAAAAAAATGTTGCAATATGATGTGGAGTTATAGGTTACAGTCAACAATGATGGCCAACAACTCTGTATGAGGTTGTGTTATAGATTAAAGCCTTACAGAAAAGCAATGCAGTATGAGGCCGTTTTAGAGGTTACAGCCCTAAAGGAGAGCATTTTAGTATGAGGCAAGGTTACATGTTACACCCCTAAAGGACATCATTGTAGATTGAGGCAGTTTTACATGTTACAGCCATAAAGCACAGCATTGTAGATGGAGGCAAGTTTTACAGGTTACAGCCCTAAAGGACAGCATTATAGTATTAGGCAGTGCTATAGATTGCAGCCACGAAGGACAATGTTGCAGCATGAGGCATTATTACAGGTTCCAGCTATAAAAGACAGCATTTCAGCATGAGGCAGTGTGGACAGTGTTGTAGTATGAGGCATACGGAACAAGACTGGGCTCTATGCTCAACTCATATAGACAATGAAAACAATGGCCTGTTTGTTCCAGCAGGTAATGCTTATTAACAGAGCACTTTCGCCAGAGCTGTTCCCCAGGCAGCCAATCACTCCAGCTCCATCTAACCGCAGAGTCTCACTCTACCACACGCTCACACACGCAGACAGTTAAATCAAGTTAAGTCAAGTCAAAGTTTATTTATCCAGTGCTTTTTACAACAGGCGTTGTTACAAAGCAGCTTTACAGTAAATCTGGGTCCGAACAAGCAAAAGGTGACAGTGGCAAGGAAAACCGCCTCAAGAGCAAGATAAAGAAACCATGAGAGAAACCAAGACTCAAAAGGGGAACCCATCCTCCTCTGGTCAACACTGGACAGCAAAACAATAACTCAACAAGAGCAATATATGAATATAAAGTATTAAATATAGAGAAAAAGAAAAAAAGAAACCAGCCTGTTACTGGAAAGAAGTATTTAGATTAACCCAGTGGTCTGCAACCAAAATGTTGAGAAGAGCCATTCTGTCCCTCCAAAATCAAACCACCTTGGGAGCCACAATATTTTATGTTAATTTCAACATCTTGGCTGTAAATATGACTCAGTATGTGCTGATGTGCTAGTATAGGCTAAAAATATAGTATAAAAAAAAACACAGACTTACTTTGCTCTGCTTTAAGCTTTAGCTTAGTTACAGCCACTTTTCTCGCATCTCTGGCAGGAAACTTTTCCGCAAAAGTAGAACAGTAAAAGTTTCTTGTAAAATGTCTCTTAACATTTTTTTTCGAGGCTGAAGTCGCTTCTCATTCGCCAGCTTCTTGTGCCTGACGCGCCATTTAAGGTGGAACAGGACAATTTGAACAAGAAGCAGGCGACTAAGAAGCTGACTACAGCCTAGCGACTTTTTAGTGTTTGACAATTTATCGTTGCAGATTAATTGTATCAGGAAACCAGCTGGAGTGATTATAAACACAAAGAAGTCCATTTGCCTCCAAATTATCGATGTTCGTCTTAAATCTCTCTCTTTGCTGTTTCGTTAGCTACTAACAAGATTGTCTGCGTTGCTATAGTGACCAACAGCCTGTGTGCCAACCTTCAGGGTTAAAGGGTGAATTAGCAGTTCTACATTAACTCCAGAGTTTAAGACCATTTACTGTTAAACTGTGTTGAACGATCAGCAGAGCTTTATTTTACCGTAAAGAAGGATTATTTTATTTTTACCTACAAATCTAATTCTGCTGTGGAGCCACAACAGAGCAGTAAAAGAGCCACATGCAGCTTGCATGTTGCTGACCCCTGGATTAACCAATGATAACCAATGTCTACTGTTAGAGGCCTATCAGAGTAACAATGAGACACAGATCTAAACCACTGTAACTAGTGAAAACCAGCGACTGCTGTTAGGAGCGTATCACAGTGAAAACGAGAGTTACATCCATGAATGTCAATACTCTTAGGAGCCTTTCATGATGATCTGTTAGTATGAATATGAAAACAGTGTTCATGCAATGAGGGGTAAAGCAGAGAAATACACTTAAATGTGATGCTGTATATCTTCTGGTGTATTTGCAGTAGGTAAATATGCAGTGCTCCCACTACTTTCTTCCCTGGCTCAGCTAAATTAATCTGGGAAAAAAGCAGGCCAAAAGAAGATTTGAGCATTTAGCGAAAACACGCCCGGCCGTCTCTCAGGACGCAAATTTTATTTGGAGACTAAATCAACACAGCGAAATGCTTTAACAGTCACATATTGCAAAAACAAACTCTTTATGCAGATTCCATCCCTCTGGGTTAACATAATGAGAATCTCTATATAATTACAGACAGTTCTGAGAGTCGACACAAATCTCAGACTGCGTTGACTCCTACAACAACAAAGTACTAAAGAAAAAGTATATGCTGGTTTAGCAGATCTTTGTAGACCGTGGAGTCCGTTCCAGTCATTTTGAGGTCTGCAGGGACTCCTAAATGCGGCATAATTTAATTGCAGAATCTGATTTGTTACGTCCACTGTGAGGTATTGACACACAGCACTAAATTCCACCTCAGGGGTGTTTAATTTGACGGTTCCCATGGGCGCCACTTCGTTTTGACAAATGATAATCCTGTTGCATATAAATGTATGAATACAGCATAGTGACAGTTTGTTTATTTCAATTCAATTCATATTGATAAATAAATAAGTACAGTTTGTACTGTGAATAAGGAGCTGACTCCACATCCAAGAGACCACATATTTAATTCCCAGACCACTACTACAGAAGAAAGTTTCAGTATTGTATGTGTAGATAATCTAAACACATTTTGAGAAGATGAGCAGCGGTTCAGGGTCATGCATTACTAAATCAGAATGAGCTGCACCACACAAACTAGTTTTAAAGTTGAGCTTAGTAGTTACTAAATATTTACACCCCCCTGAAAAGGTGTACGTGTTAGGGAAACCATCAGAAACCACATAGAAAGCTCAAAAAAAGACCAGAAACATGATTTTTTGGTTAAGCGAAAAATTCTAAACACTACACTGTGATTTTACTTACAACTCTAATTACCCTGATTTTAACTCTGAGCATGAAGCTAAACACCCACAGCTCCAGCTCACAGCTGCCCACACGTTTAAACTGATCTGCTGTTGTGTAGGTCAGCCAGAAACTGTCGTTTAAAAATCTGCATATTTGGCTGTCCAAGGGAAATATTAATGACCAAACAGGCAATGGCTATAAATAATAAGTTTTATTTAGTTTAACCTGTACTCTCTTCTAGATCTTGTTTTTGATTTTTTTTTTCCATTGAGAAGTCAGAGCCAACTACCTCTGTGTTTCCATAGCAGCGGGGTTACTGATTGGTTCTGAACATGTTATCGCCATGTTAGAGCGACGAACGCATTTGTTAATCATCAATAGTAAAGATGCGACTTATGGATTTGTGGTGCAGCCAAATTTAGTAAAAGGATAGTTTGAAACTAACTAGTTTAACTAAGGACTTAGTAAAGACTTTATGCCAAAACTTAAGTATAAACTTACGCAAACTTGGTGCAACCCAGTCCAGATTGTTTTTGAAAATTTTCCTTTCCACCTTAAATGGTGCCGCAGTTACACTCTGGCGCTGTGTATTCTAAAGTCTAAAGTATTTAGGGTGGAACGGAATGTTGGATTCAGAAGGAATAGGAAGCCAATTTCAGCCTTGTTTAAAGATGAACATCAGCAATGCCTGTTGATAGTTTGGGTCCTTGGGAAGGGCATGAAAAGTCCAGTCCAAGCAGTCCTAGTGATTAACTGTGTTTCCATTCACTTCAGTTTAGTGTTACAGTTTCATTGGTTTTATGCTGGGTCACAACCTAAAGTGGTTCCCTCGCAAAAATGTATTCCCTAATAGTGTCCCATTTGAAATGCTCTGACTTTGATACTGATGAGTCCTTAAATTGGTTCCAATGCCTAAACGATCCAAAACTGACACAGTATGGAGCATTTCACAGATGCCCGACATACCCACTTTAAATGATGCCTGTGCTAATTCGCTAAACCAAAGTGACTGGCTGGCTCTACTGACTGGACTGACATGTCCTGTATTCTGATTCCAAAAAACAGAAAACAAAGGCATTCCCAGAATTCCAGAGGAATGCCTGCCACCATTCCCGCCATCCTCTAGCTAACTTTCAAACTTGGCGGGAGGCAAAAACTGCCCCTCTTGTGCTATTGTTCTAGTGAAGGGCTGGTGGTGTGGGGTAAAATTGAAAAACAGAAATGGACTTGAGGGCAGGCAATAGCATCAACTGACGGGCTGTGTGGTGGTGGTGCTGGTGGTAAGAAGGATATAGTGTGACTTTATCAGAACAGGCTGCACTATTTAGCCAGCTGACAGCTGCTTAATGAATGCTTTTACTATCTAATTTCACTCCCCATCCATCACTCTGCATCTGACAGGCAAAACAATCAGACTACACACCAGGTGCCGTGAGCAGAAAAGCCTTCCATCCTCGATTACACACTAAGTCACTAGTTCACTCATGTACTTACAACGACATTCACTCACCAGTTCACTCACTTATACAATCACATACTTGCACACTCACTCCCATATTCATTCCCTCAATATCTTGCTCACTCACTGACTCCCATACTCACTCACTCACTCATTCACTCACTGACTCCCATATTCAGTCACTCACTTGCTTACTTACTCACTTCCACACTTGCTTATACAATCAAACACTAGGTCTCTCATACCTGTTCACTTCCGCACCCACTCGCTTATACAATCAAACACTAGCACACTCACTCCCATTTTCATTTCCTCAAAAACTTGCTCACTCACTACCATACTCACTCACTCACTCACTCACATATTCACTCACTTACTCGCTCGCTCACTGTCTTTCATACCTGTTCACTTCCGCACTCACTCGCTTATACAATCAAACACGTGCACACTCACTCGCTCCCATACTCACCATCTCACTCAGATACTTACTCACTTACCTATTCACTCACATACTCGCTCACTCCCATACTTGGCCACACTAGCTCACTCATTCACCCACTCACTCCCATATTCACTCACTCACTCGCACGGCCGCCCATACTAGCTCACTCCCATACTCACTATTTCACTCCTATACTCTCTCACTCACTCACTAACCAATTCCCTCACTCACTGCCATACTTCCTCACTCACTTCTATATTCACTCGCTCATCACTCACTCCCACACTCACTAACTCAGTCCCACACTCACTCACTAACCCACTCACTCCCATATTTGCTCAATCACTTACACTCTTACTCGCTCACTCACTCCCATATTCACTCACTCCCATACTTGCTTACTCCTACACTCACTCTCTATCCCACTCACACTTACCCACTCACTCCCATACCAGGGTTATTATAGCTAAAACTATTACAACAATGTGCTTATTAACTGTAATAAAATAAAAAATGACAGTTTTCAAAAATAAGAAAACTAAAGTTAAAACTATAGCATCCACAGCAAAATTAGAAGGACACAATTACTGAGAAGAATTGTGACTGAGAGTTCAGAAGTGGATCCTTTCTGTGTTTGGCCATCTTTAAGGAGCCGAGCCAAGCTCAGTCTACTATTGTGTTACTTTTATTCTACCCTTATAAAATACCTACTACAACTGCGTTCATTATAATACTAAAAAACTAAAACTAAAACTGAAACTAAAAAAAAACTAAACTAAAACTATTACTTTTCAGAGAATAATAACTATTACTACTAAATATTAATGCAACCTTAAGATGAAATACAACTAACCTGAATCCAAAACCCAAATGAAAAACTAAATAAAACTAAAAACTAATGAAATATTTGAAAACTATATATACCTGTCGCATACTTGCTTGCTCACTCCCATACTCACCCCCATACCTGCTCCCTAAATCACTTCCAAACTCGCTCACTCATTCTCAGGCTCACTCCTGTACTCACACACTCCCATACTTGCTCACTCACCCAGACATTTCCATACTCACTCATTCATTACCTCACTCTTGCACTCACTCCTAGACTTGCTCATTTATTCACTCAGTCACTTACTCACTCACTTGTTAATTCATTCCCTCACCACCTCCCAGTCGAATACATCTACTAATTCACAACACATTTTCCCCACCCATTCACTCCTTTACTCTTACAATCACTCACTTATTCGCTCATTCGCTCATTCACTCACACGCGCACTCACATTTACTTGCTCACTCACTCACTCGCTCAACTACTCACTTTGCCTCACATTCATTCACTCACTCACTCTGCCTCACACTCATTCACTCACTAATTCACTCATTAAGACTAAGAAAGTGATCTTATCGAGTGAAGTGATTTCACACACACTCACATTCACTCGCTCACTCACTCACTCTCTCTCACTCACTCACTCTGCCTCACACTCACCCACTCACTCATTCACTCACTCAGACTAAGAAAGTGATCTTATCGAGCAAAGTGATTTCACACACACTCACATTCACTCGCTCACTCACTCACTCTCTCTCACTCACTCACTCTGCCTCACACTCACCCACTCACTCATTCACTCACTCAGACTAAGAAAGTGATCTTATCGAGCAAAGTGATTTCACACACACTCATATTCACTCGCTCACTCACTCACTCTCTCTCACTCTCTCTCACTCACTCACTCTGCCTCACACTCACCCACTCACTCAGACTAAGAAAGTGATCTTATCGAGCAAAGTGATCTCACTGCGCTGGCAATCTAATTTCCTTCAGTCATTATTTCTTAAACAGGGAAAATTAATAGTCAGTGCACTGAGTTCACCTGATAAGATCACTTTACTTCAGTAAAAATGTCCAGAAACAGGTTGAATAATCTCATAATATTCTTACAACAATCTTCTAATGAGAAACAGTAGATATATTGCACGCACTTAAGATGCTTGACTTGCCAAGATCATCATTTTTAGAGCGAATCTCATCACTCTCTCCCTGACAGACTCAGACCACTGCCCCCTCGTTCACTCCCTCGTTCAGCTCCCATCTCCGCTGACAGTCAGATGGTGGAGAGCCCAGTGGGATCGAGCATAATTGCACCTAAATATGATCAATTACGTTTGACAGACTGGCAGCGTTCTGTCTCTTCTGGAGGAGAGGTGTCACATCTGATTACAATCTGCTGGGAAATACATACAATTAAGTCCAATCTGAAGGCACACGTGTGAGCGCGCGAGGCCGCGGGGAGTGATGAGGATGGGGAATACAGATGCCCGTTTCATTCTCTGTGGAATGAGGCTGAGATGGTTCATATTGAAGCGATTGAGGTCGTTCCAGCTTTACAGCTCTGCAGTAATGTGAGCTGCGTCAGAGTCAGCTGTAATCATGTGAGTTATGGCTGTCCACTGGCAGCGCACGCAGGCCCCAGCTGTGCTCAGGCTGGCTGGATAAACACGGCCCTCCCAGCTGGGAGACACGTCCACTCTAATCCGAACATACTATCAGCCATGGAGTATTTAGAGAGTATTGGGAATACCGCAACATCTCCGCGCATGAAAATGTAAAATTTGGAATTCTGAACATGAATTTTGTGAGTAAAACAGAACACACTTGTTCCACAAAGCTTTAGTGACAGTGACTAAACATTAACTAAATGTTGACTAAAATCCAGAAATATAGTGAGGAGAAAGACACTGAATACTTCTAGGGCGAATATCCACTAATTTACAATAATAATCTTTACAAAAATAATCGTTACAAAAATAATCTTTATGAAAATAATCTTGTGACTTTGCAGAAGCATGTATTTATAAGCACAAACAAAGCTATGTTAAGTAAATGAATGGACAAAAGTATTCAGACAGTATATTAAGTAAAGGTTACATAAAATAAATCCAGTTATAGATATTAATGAACTGCACCACAAACATCTGCATTCCTAAACCCCACATAAACACGTCGTGTTCTGAGACACATAAGCTGGACGCCCGTCCAACTGCCGTCTTTTAAAGCTCAAAGCATAAACTTCACTATGAGGTGACACACATGCAGAAAAAGTAGTTAAACTTTCCGATTGGGAATGTAATCAGATACAGGCGTTTACATTATAGTTGGTGGTTACAGTTGTTATCATTCTTCTATTTAACGGATTATTTACAGGATTACCCACCTCGTACCCACTAGTCTATTCTGACTGAGCTATCAGTCTGATTATTAACGGATCGTTGAACGTTAGAAACATTCACTATGACACGAACATACATGTGCCGAATGTATTTAAACTTCCTGATTCAGAATGTAGTCAGGTACTGGCTTTTACATGGTAATTATTCTTTTATTTAACAGATTATTTACTGTTTATTTATTTATTATAAGACTACCCACCTCGTTCAAGCGGATAAGAATTGTATTTCAAATGGCATCAATCGGACTAGTCTATTCTGATTGAGGTGTTTACATGGACGTATTCCATTGTGATTGAGCTATTAGTCCGATTATTACCGGGTTATCAGGCTGCAAGTAAACTTGGCTAATGAAATCACACCAAGCTCAGTTTCTATATATGGACTGTAAAGACTGGGGAATCAGTGGTACATTTTAAAGCTTTAACAATGTTGACATATCACTTAAAATTTATAAACAACATGGGAAATTCTGGTTTCCGTGATACGGGCACAATGTGAGCCCCATATATCAAATTCTTTTATATAAGTTTCTATATATTTTTCTACATATTTGTGATAATGCACAGCAGAAATACAGTTCAAACATATCCACAAGTGAAATGGCATGTAGAGTTTACAGCCACTGAAGTTGCTGCAGTGGTTTTGGAAAATAGAGACGATGTTTAAGTGCCTTTAAAGGCAAATTTAAAAAAACGTGAAAAACTACCTCAGACCCCAGAAGGTTAAAGAAGAAGAGTAGATTAAAAAAAGCAGAAATAGTCTTTGAATAGAATGTTAAAAGGTGAAGTTCAGAGCACACTGACCCAACATTGTCCAACGAACACTAGCTTTCTAACGCTGGCAGTGTTGGCTTTTTACAACGTCCAGAGAAAAGAACTGATAAGCCAAAGTGTGAAGGGGAGAGAACATTCTGAACACTTCCCAGCAGTTGAGCACATCAGTCCAGTGTTCGGGTTTACTGATGACTGTTGGAGAACGTTGAGCCAACTTGCTCTGAGCTTTAGAGGAGAAAACATGAGCCTCTTACTTCTGGACACTTGCACCAGTTCTGTCACGTTGAACACTCCCGATGTGACAAAGCTCTCCTGAAACTCAGGCCCATCTGCGAAAGAGGAAAAGGGAATCAGAACAATGTGGCAGTTGTATCATTACATCATTATAATTAAATAATCCCAGTCGAATCTTTAAGTTCTTTCAGCTAGATCAGCGGATGTTCTAGACCAGGGGTTCCCAACCTGAGCTGCTTTTGCAACATTTGTGACGATGGTGGAGCGTGGGGATGGTTTGTGGGGTCAGCAATGCACATGATTTTACTGTTAAGCATAGTTAAACGGCTCTTATTCTACATTTTCTTGCATTTAATATAGTCCCTTGAGGCCTACCGGTGATGTTTGTGTGAGTTTATCTACTAAAAAAGTGTTACATGACCATATCCAACATCTCTTCATCCCTTTTTGGGTTTGTTACTGTGCCTTACTGTGTCTTTAAGTGTGATATATGTAAATGACCTGTGTTCTGATTGGCTACCTTGTACTGCGTCTCATTCAAAAAGCACCGCAGGCTGAAACACTCCTTTGAATTTCAGCGAAGATGGGGCTGAACTGCTGTAGACTGGATAAGTGTATATATGCAAACATGCTAATATTTTTGCAGCTTAGCTATTTAAAAGAGCTACGAGCTCTTTTACTGCAACAAAAGAGAGCAAATTCAGGCCCTATAAAGTATATAATCCCTGACAGAAGCGCATTTCAGTCACACGTACGCATTAAACATAAGACAAATGTTGCATTGTTCTATTTAGCTAAACGGGACGATATTAGCTTATGGAGTGAATTTAGCTTGCTGGCAACTCATGAAACCACAAGTCTGTGCATGGCCTAATACTCTGATGAGCACCTGTGATTGACAGCCCTCAGGCAGGCAATCCCAGCCTGCATCAGCCCTGAAGTCCACACACTAAAAACATTATCCAGCTTGAAAAAAGTGACATCCTAAAGAATGTAAGGTTCTTAGTCACTTTACTGCTGGCGTGGCTGGTTGGGCGAACAAATACATGTCAGGCAAACAGATGAGCCAACTTGCTAGCTTAGTTATGCTTGCTAGGTTAGCCTTTACTTGGTGGTTAGCTTTCTGTCTGTATATTTTCTGATTGGAGCACAGAGACTAGTGGTTTGTTAAAGCTGTGAGAACAGAAGAAAGCCAGCCTTATGACTGTTGAGGATATTGCTACCCAAGATTAGCATCGCCCAGCTTATATCAAAAGTAGAGAATTTTGGTACACTTGGCCACATTAGTGGTCAATTTGAAAATTATTCACATGACACAGTCTGTACATGTATATTCTCTGAAGTCCACACACTAAAAACATTATCCAGCTTTGAAAGGGTGACGCCCTAAAGAATGTAAGGGTCTTAGTCACTTTACTGCTGGCGTGGCTGGTTGGGCAAACCAATAAATGTCAGGCAAACAGATGAGCCAGCTTGCTAGCTTGGTTATGCTTTCTAGCTTAGCCTTTACTGGGTGGTTAGCTTTTTATTAGTGCATTTTTCTGACTGGAGTACAGAGACTAGTGGTTTGTTAAAGCTGTGTGAATGGGAGAAGCCACATCAGCCTTGTGACTGTCAAAGATATTGCTTACATATGCTCTACCCAAGATTAGCATTGCCCAGCTTACATCGAAAGTGGAGAATTTTGGTTCACTTGGCCACCTTACTGGTCACTGGACATAGTATGTACATGTATATTCTCTGCCCACAAGAGCAAGATTAAACTACTTAAAAAGAACACACAGATTTCGGGTCCTTGAAGCTTCAAAGCAACTTACACTACATATTTTCTATCGAGTCTTAATTAAAAATACAGTATTTATGATAACAATGTCTTTATTAAAGTAGTGGAGTTCAGCAGGCTACTAATCCCCCCCCGTTTTCTGCTGCATTGGTGACAAACTGGTGGTTTGGAACCTCGGCTCTAGAATATTAAAAAAAGCAACAGGAGCGCATTAAATTTAGCACTGTAGAACTGTTATATACTCACACATTCATTTTTAGTTTTATTAGAACTGACTGAAGACAAAAGTAGTTAACAGCAGTGTTTCATTTACTGGATGCTTCAGAAAATTTAGAAATAACAGTTCAAAATACATACAAAGTGAATGAGCAGTAAGTTTCCTTTCTTTCCTTTCTGCTTATCATTTACAATTCTGTTTAAAATGTCCATTAGTTTGGTTTTAACAGAAGCAGAACAGAACGAGAACACAGAAAAAACATGACATAACAAAACAGTTCAATCAAAATAACCTGGGACAAAATCACTAAATCTAACTATGCTACTGATAAAGACATAAAAAAATATACATTGAACTTCTTGCTACCTAAGCAGCCAATTAAAACAAATCATTTTACCCCTCAAATGGCTAAGGCCCACCGACAGGCCCAAAGTTTTATTACAGTCTTCTATAAGCCCCTGTAGTTACTGAATAATAAGCCTTAGTGTGTAATAAGCCTGGATTTTAAGGGGTTAAGCATGAAGGGGCTGAGAGAAGAAAACAATAAAACAGTCCAATCAAAACAAGTTTAAAAACAAGACATTTTTGTAGCGCAGAGCAGCAGCCCTAAAAGCACTGGTTCACCAACTTCATTAATGTAAACCTATCCAGCATCTGATAGCGTGATATATTTGGATATTGTGATATTAAATTTGATTTTGATCAGTACTGCCCATACAGCAAAATTGTAACACAAACAAATTTCTGAGTGGGTTCATTGTTGGGTTTGAAGCCGGGTACTGACCCCCAGGGGGCGCAGTGTCATGTATATGGACGTTCATTTCTCTCACAAGTAATCACATGGTGTAAATCTCAATGCCACAAAACTGCTTAAGGCTAAAATATACAATAAACATGACCTCTACAACTGGCAGGTCACGTTCAAATAAACGTACCACAAAGGGTTCTTTGAATAATGCCACAAAAGAACCACTTTTGGAAACAAGTTTGAAAAAGAAATTTGTGAGTGTAAAGGATCTTTAAAGATTTAAAGAACATTCACATGATGTAAAGATTGTATACCAGTTTAAGGGTTCTTCCTAGAACCTTTACACCATTACGTAAGGCTTATCTTATGTAGGAAAAATGGTTCTTTAAAGAACCTTTCACTGATAGATCTGTAGCAAACCAAAAGTGTTATTAACAATGATAATATTATAATTTCATGTAGATATTAAACACACAATATACATACAGGACAAATTATTACATAGAGATACTTACAATTCTAACACATATGGGACATTATTACTACATAAATATATATGTACAATGTATATGGTCAATATTAGTATGATACATATATTATATAAAGGTATTTACATGTATTATACATATTACATATACGTACTGACATATGTATATTACAAGCTAATACATATATATTAATATGCACACACACACACACACACACACACATACACACATATATAATATACACACACACATATACACACATACACACACACACACACACACATATAATATACAAACACATACACACACACATATATATATATATATACATAAAAACGTGTGTAATATATATGTACTAGCTTGTGCTGTGTTCTAGGCTGCTAGGCTGTTGGGTGTGTGTTTGTGTGTGTAAGCAGTGAGGAGGTGTGTGTGAATGTGGGTAGTGGAGTGTGCATATGAGCAGTGAGGTGTGTGAGGTGTATCAGGGTGTGGGTCTGTGAGGGTTTGTGAGGGTTTTCGAGGCTGCGCCGAGCTCCGTGTAGGTTGTGCTGGGTAAACAGGATGTTTGTACAGTGCAGAAAAGTGCTTACTGTTGCATCACACACACACGCGAAGACAGGCATGAACAAGCATGAACTGCAGCAAACTTCACAGAATCTGCAGCACGCTCACTCACACACACACACACACCAACACCCACACACATGTTCAGACAGTCTGCAGCACTGTGATCAGCAGCTCGTATACTTGGACAAGGCAAAGCCATGTGCAGCATTAAATCATGCCTGGGCTTATTATACAATAACACAGGCCCAAAGTGACCTGGAACTTGACCTTTAGCTTAAAATCAAACAGAAACTCAGCTGGACACCGGCGATCAAACTAAACACTAAATAGAAACAGCAACATCAAAATGCTCCTAAAGTGTTTTTACAAAAAGGGTTTCATTTTAAAAGTGAAAAGAACGATCTTTTGTTTTGGTGACTGAGATTAAAATTTGTGTCAGGGTTATAAAATATGTATTCATAAAATAATACATACATAATACTTAGGGGACATATATGCATTATTATATAATATTATTATTACATATAGGTACTTAACCTGTATGACATTATATGACATTACTATGCTATTTTATTTTTCATGTACATATTACTTTACATATACTACATTACATAATTGTCTTAAAGCAATTATCTGTCCATAACAACATGATTCTGACATCAAAGTGCATCGATAGTACTTACATATGTACAACATACACTATATGTCCAAAAGTTTGTAGACACCTGCTCATCCAACATTTCCTCTGAAATGAAGGGTATTAATAGGGAGTTTGTCCCCCTTTGCTGCAGTAACAGCTTCTACTCTTCTGAGAAGGCTTTACACTAGATGTCGGAACACTGCTGTGAGGATTTGACTGAGCATTAGTGAGGTCAGGTACTGATGTTGGAAGATCAGTTCTGGATCACAGACTCATCCCAAAGGTACTGGATGGGGCTCCATCACTACAGAGAACACAGGTCCACTGCTCCACTGCTCCACAGCCCAATGCCGGGGCGGGGGTTTATACCCCTGTAGCCCAAGCTTGGCACTGGGTATGGTGACCGTAGGGTCATGAGCAGCTGCCCCAGAACATCCCATTCTATTGGTCAAACCTTTTTCTATGGAGATTTTACAAGCTGTGCAGCTGAACGCCTGTGTCAGCAATGGACGACCTTAAAGCAGCTGAATGCACTCATTAGAAGGGCCGGCTGGATACTTTTACACAGATACTGTATACGGGGCACATATGTATAAAAACAGACCTGCGTGTATGTGTATGGAGTCTTACCCATTGTTGCGGCTCGACTGTCCTCCTGGTCTGAACCAATACCTGTACGAGGACTACTGCTTTGCTCCGCTGCCTCTGAGAGAGAGAGAGAGAGAGAGAGAGAGGGATAAGTTCCGACTCAGCAGATTTTCTTAATTGAAACATAGAGGGGGGTGGTGACAGGTAAAGGTCAAACCCACAAAGCTATTCGGCGTTCACTGCACAAAAGGACTTTGCAAGAAGCATGCAGGGCCACGCACTGTGACAGTTAAAAAAAAAAGCATGGCTTAAAGGAACAGTCAGGCAAATATTCTAATTTACACAGATGTTCGCCTTACCGCAAACACGGTGAATCAGCCAAGAAAATAGACAAAATGTGACGTATTTAAGACAAAGTTTATAGATGACAGTGCGTCACACAGCGTCAGAAACCACATAATCTAAGCTTATTAGAGATTACTTAACAACTCTACATGGTTCGAGGCAAGTGTGATGATATAGGCCTAGAATTAGCACCACGATAATTGGCAAGGCATAATGGTGAATATATATATATATATTGCTGTTGTCGGAACAAAACCTCGTATCTCCAAAATGATACCTTTAGAGGAGAAGGAAAAAACCTACTTTACTTTTAATGTAAGTCAATAGAACCAGACATTTTTCCAAGCTGTTTTGGGTCATTTCTCTTAGTTCAATCATCATGAAATTTACATACAATGTAAAGAGCAACAGGTATTTTTAAATTATATCAAAAACTGAAAAACATCAAAAATGGAGATACGAGGTGTTCTTCAGACAACAGCGATATATATATATATATATATATATATATATATATACACACACACACACATGCCACACTATTATTACTGGTACTTACATATATCTAATACATATGGGATATGTTATTTTTACCTATAAGTTCCCTTATATATGACACATGGCCTTATATAGATATTTACATAGTATGTCATATATATGAAACACTGACAAACGTTGACACTTATTACACATGATTATTACTACACATAGATACTTCTATATATCTATACTACATGTGGGACATATTATCATGACATACAGGAAATTCTAGCTACATTAGCCTTGTAGCTTCAGTGACAAATTAAAGACTTCACACATCAAACATGACTGATAGGCTGCATTTGAGTAACATAATTATAAAAAAAAGATAATATCCTGTCTCATCCTGATTGCTGTATGATCACAATAACACATAACGGTTAGAACAAAGTCGTACAGGATGTTCTCATAGGCCTCACATACCAGTAAACATCACATGCTTTATGTCGGATAGATGTGGTTGATACATATAGAGATAGCCCTTCTAATCTGACCTCTGAAAACAGCACAGGACAGTCATGGGTGAGAATGCAGAATGTTTTCTATAAATCAATGCGAGATTCAGAGATGTAGCTGCAAAGCACGGCTCAGTCAAACACTTAATAAACCACAGAAATGAGAAACACGGGGTATCAAAGTGCACACCAAACCCATTCAAACCTCGCTTCTTTTTTTCCCTTTTCAACTTGTTTGGCAAGCCCTGACCATAATCCAATTCAAATCTCTTTATTGGCAAAGCGATCGGACTGCACTGCCAGCGTGTCTACACATCGGAGCGGAGCGATAAGGACAAAGCAGCCTAATCCAACCATAAAACCTTTTTTATTTGCATGAACTCGTTTTTTTGCGGCACGGGGAGATAAAACTCTGTAGATAAACAAGCCGACCGGCTTAAGAGTCGGAGGCGGCACAGGGATTTTTCTCAATGCAGAATCATGGGATGGAAGGTTTACCATGAGGACTCTGGCAGAGGTTCAGAGAGAAGGCAGTTAGAAAGAAAAAAAAGGCAAAGTCAGATAAATAAATAGGAGTGCTGTGTATCTGATAGGCCAGACTCCACGTCCAGATCAAAGTCAAGGGGAGCCTGGCCTGCTGCACATGTTTGAGTTTAGCGCCCAAAGAACGCAACGCACCATTACCACTCACACGCTCTCCCTGGCCTGAAGGTTTGAGGCTGACCGCGACCTCAGCAGTGCACTACCCTCACAGATACGATCTATGACTTCACTGGTAATAGTGGGAATGAGAATTACTCACCAAATTGTATTGGACTGCATAATGGTTTTAATTGTCCCTGGGTTTCCATTGTTGCCTGCTATTCACATAATAAGCACGTTTCGTTTCTAAATACACGTATACATGAAATCGCAGCCCACAGAAACGCTTGTTTTGTCCAGTAAGGTCAATTTGCTGATGCTGAGAAAGTAGGCCAGCAGAATGCTGGCCGTTAGGCCCCCTACAGGGCCATAAATAACTGTTGTTTTAGGGCCTGTATTGCAGAAATGCGAGGTTAAAAGGGGGAATTCCACCAAAATTTATCCAAAAAAAAAATGGTTAAGATGTGAAACAAGATCATTTAGAATGGTCTGTTTACAACTCAAAGATTGAATTATGTAGAATAATGTTTTCTAAATAATATAATATGAGGAATTGTGATTAAAATGACCACAGACCCAAACTGACCAGGTTTAAAAAAGGTGAGGCTACCTTTAATTTGATGCTGTTTACATGTATGGTTGGTGAACCATATAGGAATCACAGCCATTCATATGTAGCCTCTCTATTCACAGGCCCTCCATTTCAGATGACCAAAATTAACTGGACAATTTATTTTTTATCAAGAACGTTGAGAGGCATTTTACAAGAAACTGTTCTACTTATGAGGAAAAGTTTCCTGCCAGAGATGCGAGAAAAGCTGCTATAGCTGAGCTAAAGCTTAAAGCAGAGCAAAGTAAGTCTGCGTTTTCGTTTATATGTTTTTGGCTTTACTAGTACATCAGCACATACTGACACATATTAACAGCCAGGATGGTAAAACAGACATAAAATGTTGTGGCTCCCAAGCTGGTTTGAGTTTTGTTCAAAGGACAAAATGGCTCTTAACATTTGGGTTGCGACCCCTGATCTAGCTAAACCAACTGTTACAACATTGTAATGATGCAAGACAGTGCTGGTGAACTTATTAACAGCAAACAACCATGAAGACCATGGAAGATCACAGCAGTGGATGACTAAAGAACGCCATCAATCATAAGGAACAACCAATGAGGAGATCAAAAGCACACTTTGGCAAAGACTAGCATAAAGAGCTGACTACGCCAGCATGACCTCAGAGTGTTCACCGCAAGATACAAGCCAGTGGTAAGCCTCAAGAACAGAAAGGCCAGGTTGTAGTTTACTGAAAGAACATATAAAAAGCCTTTATAGTCCTGGGACAAAGGTGAAGATGAACCCCGTACAAAAGAGAGGAGAAATATAGAAACTGCTCATGATCTAAAGCAAACCATCTCATTTGTAAACACATGGCATGTACAACGGGCAGAGGAACTGGATCGCATGTTTTTACTGATGATGTAATGGCAGATGTCTGCAGCAGGATGAATTCTGAAATGAACAGAAGCATCTAAACCACTCAGATCCCTCCAAACACCTCAAACCTCAGTGGAGGACAAGACACATGGTCTGAAACATCCTGTTAAAGCAAAGACAAGCTTCTATACACTTTTAAAGTTGCCACAAAGGGTTCTTTGAGCGATGCCGAAGAAGAACCACTTTTGGTTCCCTCAAGAACAATGCTTAAAAAAAAGGGATCTGTGGGAGTGAAGAAACTTTTGAAAGCATAATGCTTTTAGTTTTGAGTTTGGGTAATCAAAAGTGGTTCTTCTATGGCATCTCCCCAAAGAACCCTTTCCTGCATCTTCATTTTTATGAGTGTAGAAGGTTCTTGGTTTGGATGTATGGTTCTACAGAATGTTTACACTGTTCACACTGTGCATCTTTTCAACTTTTGAAAAAGGTTCTTCATGCTTCAAAATTTAATTTACCATCCATAGAAAGGTTTTTTCAGAGGACTAAATGTGGTTCTCCTCCAGCTTCACTCCAAAAAACACACTTTTTGGTACCATATAAGAGTGTACAGAGTTTTTCAGGGTCACAGTAAAAGCAATGTTCTTGACTATGCAAATCAATCACCCAGTCTGAGCCACACTGAACCTGCATGTGGCTTACTGAAGATGAGACTGAAGTCAAAAAGCCCCTCAAACAAGCAGGAAGTGAAAATCTCTGCGCTACAGGCTCGGTAGAGTGTCAGTAGGGGAGACAGCTCACGTCTGGTGATGTCTGCGGGTTACACACTTCGAGAAGTCATTGACTGCAAATCCCCGCCCTGCAGAAAACTGATATCTTGGCAAGCAAAAGCATCTTAAATGTAGCCAATATATATATTTCTCAATACAATATCACTGTTATAAGAATTTTATAAGCTTATTCAACCTATTTCTAGCAGATTTTCTGCTTGTATAAATATTCAGTGCATTTAAATATGCAATATGATCATTTCATCATAGAATAATTTTATATTATGGCTTTCAAACTATTAAAATGGTGACATTTATGTATTTGAATAGATGTACTAAACACAAAAACAAAAAGGTAATAAGGAAAATACACTTTTACTATCAAATAAAATCTTTCTTGGAGCTAAAAAATTTAATGACTATTTTTTTCAACAAAATCGTGCATGTATTTAAACTCTGCAAATATTGCTGGGCTTCTCGTGTTTCATTGTTACATTCTGGATGGAAACAAAAGGGTTAAAGCCTTGAATTAATAAAAGACTGGCCATTCCGGAGTTGTTTTTCTATGTGTATTTCTATAGGTAGATATAACTACAGGGGCTGTGCCATTGGTTAGGACTTCAGAAGCTGAAGAGAAGGCCTAATACATAAGATTTACTATCAGCATAATAACAGAGGAATTAATCAATTACATTCTGATTTTCAGTAGGTGGGACCAATTTTGTGAGGACAAAAAGCAGTCTGGTATCCTGGATACGTCAATGATTGTGAATACCAGCAGCCTAAATTATGGGCTGTTAGAAATTCAAAACAGCAGCAGACGCTATAAAAGGCCTCTTTAGTGAAGGAGTCACTGAGAAACTACTACAACATAAAATATATTGTTGCAGTATGTCCAAAATTATAACTTTACCATAGAGGGCAAAAATGTTCTTA